CAAAAAAAGAAAAAGACCAAGACACAAACAATAGTACACAAAAAACAACATAGAAAACTAAAGATTGAGTACAACGAACCCCACCACTCTACCAACTGTAGAGTAATTGTAGCTTCTAACATCTAGTTAACCACAAAGGTGTTGGATTGTCACTAAAACTGCAATACAGTGAATTAAAATAAGTTACCGAAATCGTGCAACTATGCGTGGATTTTGAGATAAAAATAGAAACGAAAAAGTATAAGATTGTATGTTCGTATATTACTAGATGCACATATTTTGTCTGACGTACATGCAAATTTAAGGAACTTTTAAATAGATATGATCAACTAGATGTTAGTGGTAACCAAAATTGAAGTCTGATAACTTGAAATGAAGTTAGATGTTTGAGTTTTGAAATCATACAAAATTTACCAATTGAAATAAAGAAGACAGTAAGAACTCAAAAACAAATAAATTTGGTGATATGCCTATGAACTTTGCATATAACATGTATGATAACTTTTTTGTTTTCATTTGTACCATTTGGATACAGATTCTGTGTTTTCGAGGTCCCGAATGTTTTTCTGTAGTAATTTATCCTTTCGAGATTTTTCTTTGTTAAAGTGATTTTTATATGTTGATATGAAAATAAATGTTCTGTATAATTCTCTCTCAGTGTCCCCATGTTTACCTATTAGAAAACAGGTTTCATTTATACATGTAATCACTTATGTGACCGTTACATACGCTGTTGAAGATCGGTTTGAATTCATTACGGTTTGTTTTTCAGTTTCTAAAAGCTCGCTCTGTGATATACAGAACATTCTGACTTTTCAATAATATACATGTGAGCCAAAGCTCTGTGTTGTAGACCGTACTTTGACCTATAATTGTTTTCCTTTTTACACATTGTGACTTGAATAGAGAGTTGTCAAATTTGTCACTCATACCACATCTTCTTATTTCTATGTACTGGTTTGTGTCATTTGTGCATGGTGACAGCTTTTGCATAGTTTGTTTATTGCACCGCGTACGTCCTTCAACAAATTCATCCCAGAAATTCATATTTTGCCCGGGCAATGCCTTCTGGATATATAACTATAAACATGTAAACGAATCTTCATATAATCCTTATGGAAAGAAAATCAGCTATGCGCGAGACTAAAAGTAGTAAATACAATTACATGTTTTGTTTAGCATGTTTTACAGTATCATATATATTATTATAGTACCGTATCGAAGATTTTTGGTATTCTTTGTTAATACTATTGAATATGAAAGCTTTTGACTTGCTTGATTTAAAGGCTTAAATGGTATGGACACTTGTCTATTGCTGATAGGCAATTTAGTAGTGTCGATATTAACTTAAAGTAAGCGGCTAGATGTTTCTTTTTTGTTTTACTTGCAGTGAACCCAGTCTCGAGAGGTGGGTTCTACACATCGTCGATAACAATTATACAAAAACTGCTATTTTTTAATTTAATGTTATGCCGGGTTATATCTGGTCTATATACCAGCTTTGATAAGTGTTTGGTTTTACTATAAATTTTCACTTCTTCGTACTATGAACATCAAAATAATTTATTTTGTAAAAATATTCCCTTTTATATTTGAACTGAACACGGATACCTAACAACAAAATTATTTTTATTTACCTGTGTTTAAAGTAATTGCAAATGGCGGATATTTTTGTTCAAGCATATTGTTTTTCTTAAATTGTTTAACATTTCACAGCGGTATAACACGTTACTTTAATTATTCTTCCCTTAGTTTATTTTTTTATTTTGTATTTACATTGTATCATAGATCAAATTTATTTGTTCAGTGTATGTTCACTAGTGTTAATATGTCTTTTGATTGAGTTAAGCCATTTCAATTGATATTTTATAGTGTGTCCTTCTATGTTGTGATGTTGCACTATTGTTTCAGATAAGGTGAAGGTTTGGTACCATTAAAACGTTTAAACCCGCTGCAATTGTTTGCACCTATCCTAGGTCAGGAATCTGATGTTCAGTAGTTGTCGTTTGGTGATGTGGTTCATAAGTGTTTCTGGTTTCTCGTTTTTATATAGATTAGACCGTTGGTTTTCCCATTTAAATGGTTTTACACTAGTAATTTTTGGGGCCCTTTATAGCTTGCTGTTCTGTGCGAGCCAAGGCTCTGTGTTGAAGACCGTACTTTGACCTACAATGGTTTACTGTTATACATTTTGACTTGGATGGAAGGTTGTCTCATTGGTACTCATACCACATCTTCTTGTATCTATTATATAAATAAAACATAGCTGAGAGGGTGATAGAGCAGATTGTTACCCCGAGAAAACATTGACAACTGAGGCGAAGCCAAGGTTGACAATGTCTTTTCGAGGGGTAACAATCTGCTCTTTCACCCTCTCAGATATGTGTTATTTAATTTATTATACTGAATGTTCTGTTATTACTGTCTATTAAATTTCAAAATCAAAGTAATAAACTATATGTCGTCTTGTACATAACAATCATCCGTATTTAATAAAGCGCACACTTGAGCAAGCGTCTCCGTGAAGGGTAATAGAGTATTTGTCATAAGATAGAGTACATTGTCTCCCTCGTATTAACCAATCAAAATCTGGCATTTTGACATAAAGTATAATAAAGACAATTATCTTGTTGTCTCATTCATTGATGTTTACATCACTTCTACTCTTATTTATACTTCAGTAATTATCTAAACAATACTTAATATACAAAATTTTTTATGATTAGTTGTTATTGGCTTTGAACTAACTGTCAGTAACTGCGAGTACTCTCAGATCTGTACTTTTTGTTGTTAGGGATGAGGGATGGATAAATACCCTGTCATGTCCGGTCTGTATTCATGTTTCATGCTTTTCGGTTTTTTATCGTTCTGATGAGTTGAGCCTTTATCAACTGATTTTTATAGTTTGTTCTTATTTTGTGCTGTTGCACCACTCTCCCACGTTAGGGGGAGGGTTGAGCGCTCACAAACATGTTTAACCCCTCCACATTCTTTATGTGCCTGTCCCAAGTCAGGAGCCTGTAATTCAGTGGTTGTCGTTGGTTCATGTCTGTCATATTTGTTTTTCGTTAATTGTTTTGTTATAAATTAGGCCGTTAGTTTTCTCAATTGAATTGTTTCATATTTTTCATGTAGGGGCCTTTTATAGCCGACTATATGGTATGGGTTTTTCTCATTGTTGAAGACCATACAGTTGCCTATAATTGCTTACATCCACTTTATTTAAACTTTGGTGGATAGTTGTCTATTTGCAATCATACCTTATCTCCTTATTTTTATAGTACAACAAAGTGCACACGTATCAGTAATACATACATAGCATAACAGGTCTTCCAAAAATATTGGACCGTACAATTGAGTAACAGGTAACAATTACCAGCAACATCAAACTCCTCTTAAAGAAAAAAGACGTTTTAACAAGGACAAAAACAACTAGTAACTAAAAATTGCCATGATAGAAAGATATCTGGACTTGGTACAGACACAACTTGTGGTTGAATTAAAACTGTTTTACGTTAGCACAACCCCTCCAATTTTCCATAGCTTGACCACATGTCGTCACAGTAAAACACATAATGAAAAAAACCTACACAGTCCAGCTAACAAAAGGATGACCACTAGATTGAATATGAAAAAACATAATTTGGAAAGCAGCGTAAAGTGTAATTGCTACTGCAGGTAGCGAGATAAGGTAGCCACATTTGAATACTGCAGCTCATGAAAACAAACATGAATAAGACATCTGGGAGGTCAAATTAATGGCATAAACCTGGTTTGTTCTGTAATTAAAAATTAATTATTTTAAACAGTTATTGAATTATTTATTAATTTGACATGACACAAATTAAACCAAGAAAAAAAACCAAAATCACAAAATCAGACATATAATACAAAATAAATAACAAATGTTTTAAAATAAATTTTAGGTTCAAATTAAATTAGAAAGCAAATTAAATGTATAAATAGTCACATTCTTGATTTCGTATACAACTACCAAAATGTCTAGTCAAAACAACTATGCGTAAAGTCAATACGGAACAAAGTACATAATTATTGTAGATCTGGAAACCAGTTTAACTCTAAAGCATATATGAAAGATAACACAAAGATATCCCAATTTTTAGTTTATATATAATTAGTCAGAATTGGACAAGTACATAAAAAAGCTGAAAAAGGTAAAGGTAAATATTTCTTGTACTTAATACAAAACACGAGTGTTTGACCAATCTACATTGTAACAAGAAATGTAATGCCTATTCTTAATTTAGGCCTACATGTAGGATTACAATGTTTCTGCTTTGATAGTAATAAATGAAATACAGTCTTAGGTCAAAAGTGTTTCACCTATTAGAAATTCCCTTATTATTTCATATAAGAACACATATTTCCAAAATTGAATATTAAACTCATAAATGTGTACAGTGTTTTTTGGTTATTTTTAAATGTTTTTCTGACATATCATCACTAAGAAATCATAATTTGTATACACGTTTTGAAATAAGTGTATTTTGTCCCTATATAGCCATATGATTTTTTCGTGCAGAAATTCATATTTTTATTTAAACAGTGATTTCCCTAACTATATAAATTATAAACATATTTCATAATAATTGCAATAAACTGCAGATATTTCTGTATTCAATGATTTTTTTTGTGTGCAATTAAGACAAGAAATATCTTTAGTGTAGAAGTTTTATTAAAAGTGTATTTTTATATGAAATAATAGCGAGAATTTCCAATTAAGGAAACACTTTTGACCTAAGACCTTATAAAGAACACAATTATTAGAGAAATGTTAAAATGTTAGTCAAAACAATCAATTATGACACAACATGTTTAAGTATATTTAATTGTTTCTACGATAGACCGTGATTATCAATGATCGTTCATAGTGCCACACTGAACGACTCAATATACAATTTTGAAAACAAATATTTACATTATTTAGGATAACAATAAGTTATATTGCGTTTAAATTATCAGCATTTAACATGTTTAACATGTTTAATTAATTACAAAATTATACTTTTACTTTTTTTAAAATACTGTATTTAGTATATGAAAGTTATGATTTAATGAAACCATATTTAAAATTATACCTTGGAAAACTACAATGTTAATTAGGTTTTTATATGTATATGATAGTCATCTTCCGTTTTTCTGCCCGACAAAATGATCGTATGTGTCTGCAGTCCCAAAATCGTTTCTTTTGTAACTTCCAGAATCATAAACATTATCAACAGCATGGTTATAAATATTCTCCAATTCCTTGTGATTGCTTCTACCAGCACAGTCGTATTTTCCCTCTTTAGACATAACATACTGAGCATTGTTTGGACTGATTGGTTTAGCAAGATCATAAGACTGTTTTTTGTCGGACATTTTTGATCGGTCAAATCCAGTTTCCTTGGGATCTAAAACTGTATAATTTTCTGTTACCCTGGGTTTATCTTCTTTTGAATGACAAACGCTTGATATGGCTGTAGGATCAATTTCCTCATATTGATTACCTTTGGTTTCAAATTTTCCTTTGGTTTCATCTTCAAGAGGTGCAATATGTTTGCGTTCATCGTCGTTTTCTGTTACCTGGGTTTCATCATCTTTTGAATGACAACCAGCACAGGCGTGTGTTCCTTCTTTAGATATAACATAATGATCATTTTCTGTATTGATTGGTTTAGCAAGCTCATAAGACTGGTTTTTGTCGGACATTTTTGATCGGTCAAATCCTTTTTCCTTGTGATTTAAAACTGTATAATTTTCTGTTACCCTGGGTTTATCTTCCTTTGAATGACAAAAGCTTGTTATGGCTGTCGGATCAATAACCTCGTATTGATTGCCTTTGGTTTCATATTTACCTCGGGTTTTATCTTCAAGAGGTGCAATATGTTTGCGTTGATCTTCGTTTTCTACATTGTTTATACATTCATTAGAGGTTGCCATAGCTATATTCGTGTACTCATATTGGTTATTTGTATTTTGAACAATTTCATATTGTGGTGGACTCGAAGACTGTTGTAGAGCTATAGTTTGATGCCCAATATAATAATTTCCTTGAAGATTGTCAATCTTTTCTAAATTGTTCTTCTCCAATAAAAACCTGAATTGTAAAAAAAATATCTATAATTAATGATTTCACCATATACTAAATTTTCTTTTGATGCATATTTTTTTATATAATTTATCAAAAGTATATACTCAACCAGTTAAGTGCCATAAATCCCAAGTACAGTGCAAGCATGTGATTAGTCTAAAGACGTAGACCATATACAATCAATTTTATAATACACTTGTTAATAGAACAAGGCTGAGTATAAACCTTTGGACAAAACGAACACATATTAAAACTTGGAAAAGCCGTCATGTGTTATGGTAAGGATATTCGACTTCTAATACGAATCTTGATACATTGGCCCAACCTAAATTTAATTCCAGTATTTGTGAAAATACCTGTAACAAAGAGGATACATTTTCGACAAAAAATATGTTTCCGTATATTTTTGAGAGACTCATAGTGTGATTGTCAACATATTCGTGACTGTTATGATATTTTTTTTTCACACAAATTCATATAACCAACACAGTTTGAAATGTAAGCTGAGTAGTTTTAATACATGATTCTGGGAAACGATGGTTTTGTTTGAAACATAAATCAAAGGAGCCTAAGATATTTAAATTTTTAGAACAAGTACTTAACATATTGGAAATCGAAATCGATTGGCTTTGTATTCAAGCGACTTTTACCACCGATCTACATGAGGTCTGTTATTTACGAACACATGTTGAACTGTGGATATCTTTCTTTGTTGTTGAGTTGCTGTCTCAGTGACGGCTACAACTTATGTTTTTAATCTATACAGATTGCAGAAGAGGCATCTTTATTCTCTAGAGAGAACTTAAAGATATGAATTAAAATTTTCTCTGCCGTGATCTATATGTACGAAGTTCTACGAACAGTGCATTGTCTTTGTAGGAGAAGTTGAACTCAAAATAATATTCTGGTCTTATTTTTACAGTCGTCGACCATTAATGCGTACATGTATAAATATGGAATATCAAATCTCAAAGGCATAAAGGCAATCGTGCCCATCAGAAAATAGAAGCTGTCTGTTTGTGGATCGAATACTACATATTCTTTGACAATTTATAAATAATGCATATAAACACAACAGTCTCTGTATATTTTCTGTTCTTTCCTTTTAAAATGATACTATCATATGCTTATTTTCTATTGAACGAACGTGCTTCCTGTTAAATTTTATAAGCTTGAAAACTAAATGAATGAGCATGGAAAATGTAATGTCTGAATTCTGTTGACAAGTTACCTAGTGAAACAGGGCTAAACTGTTTGTAGCATATGAGTTCCCTTATTAATATGTTTGTTGGCTTCATATTATTCAGTTTGTAGTTTTCAGTGTAGTATTTTGCCGACTTGCTTGTCTTCTGGTATTTTGTTTTTACGGTAATGATGGTTGCAATGCTTTCACTTTAGAGTGCCCAAATGGCAGATTGAGCCTAGTACAGGTACACATGGTATATGAATTGTGACGATTTCCAAACCGGACTCGCTGTTTATTCATTCAAGTACAACGGCAATCGTTTTCGTTTTTATTTAACTTACCTTCTGATTAAAAAAATTACAGCTGCAATGAACACTAGCACGAATGAACCAATAACTAATCCAACAATTAGACCTGTAAATTATTTGTTGAGAGTTGAATTGTATAAATTATCCTAAATCATTTGATTGATACTAGTATATGTTTACAGGAGGTGTTCTATTGATAAAAATGCTGATCTTTTATTTACTGAAAGACTATTTATTATATTCCGTCGTATGCTTTCATTTTGTATGAAAACAACCCAGGCCGTATGAAAGCAACAAGCCCTATGGATGCAAACTGAGATTATAGAATTATTAGCTCCGCTTACCTTATTATTCAACATTATTTTTCGCTTTGTTCGTGTACTTTGTGCAAACGATTATGCTTTTTAAAAAAATCGCAAATTTTATTCATTAAAAAAAAAAAAAAAAATGATTACAATATAAAATCTTGAAAGATAAATAATTGATATACACATATAAATTATTGTCCTGTGATATATGTAATGAACAATTATAATGATTGCAATTGCTTAATATTTTACTAGTATCCTTTTTTAAATCCACATCTTTATTTGCCAAATTCAGCTCTATGACGTATTATAATTGATTTCTTGTGGAATGATACTGCTTCATCTCATTAAAATGTTTATGCCAAGTGTTGTGTTTAAAGTTTTACTCTCAGATGCAAACTTGAATAACATATATATTTTATTCTTATTTTGAAATTTGTAAATATAAGAATTGAATAAGGTGTTTTTGAAAATATATACGAAATAAAAGCAAGTGCCCATTACATTGATAGTATGACAAGCGACCGGTTTCTTTACGTATATATTAGAAAAAAAAAACATCATTCAATTCTATGATAAATGATACACAAGGCATTGACGAATTAGTTTAAAAACACTCCTTGAATTGAGAGTATTTTGAACCTTAGGTTCATTAAACTGTTCTCTCGTTCCAAAACCACTCACTTGTGATTCCGTAACGGTTATTCAATATAAAGATAACATATGAAATTAAGTACGAAGTGTAGTGCCTTGAGCACTTAATTGTATAGTATGTACATGAAGTTCCATTGATTATCCACATTTAGCAACACATAATTGGTCTATATAATTATTAGTTAGCATATATTTACAATTACTCGTCCAACCAAAATGCTTAAATTTACCTTCTAAGTTTCATAGTACATACGTTTTTTGTATACTAGGTAACTATGCATGAATGACCACTAGGGTATGATGTCATTGTATTTTAATCAAGATAAAGAAAATGCCTACACCAGCAGCTACCATATTTTCATTTATAAACTCAACATCGAGATCTGATAAATCATTGTCACAAATTGAACAGAGAGTCGACAGATATGATACTAGTGAGTGAATTTACATAGCATAAAACTTAGCTTTTGAAATCCGTTTCACAAACACTCGAGAAACACATAGTCAGCCAATATGAGCTATCAATAGACCAATGCCTAGATTACTCGATGCGTAAACTAGATAGTCAATGGAAAAGTATATACTATGAAATTAAGTGCTCGGGATAAAATCTCGCCTTTTAAATTTTTTAGTGTCATATTTGTGAAATTTTGCATTAATGATTTATCAGATCTTGTGTCTTCAGCAACGCCACAATTAATTACGGAATCGGAACTTGATGGTTTATTTGTAAATCAGACATAAATAAAAGTGTTTCCACAGTTTTGGGCTCTAAAATAAAAAAGGTGGTAACTGCTAATGTACGTCTGTATATGTAAAAAAAGAGACTTTTTTACATGTTTAGAGGACAAAAATAAAATGACCACCAAAGAAAATAACAACAAAAAGGGATAGTCTACTGGCAGTTATCGTTCTACATATAATAAAACGTGATTTAAGTTATTAGGAAAACAAAAGCTATGTTAATTAATAAAAAAAAAGAAAACAGGATTAATATGTAGTCTCGTGACATAGGCATTCGAAACTACCAAAAGGTCAATTATACGATAACTTTTTGGAAAATATTTTGTAATATCACAGTTGAATCAAATATATATTGCTATGAATTCATAATCATTTGTTGAATACAAATTTTCGTGGATTTCGTGGGTAAAGGGTGAACCACTAATTTAAACGCTCTAATAGGCTTGTATACAGACTTTAGCAAAACCACAAAATCAAATATCCACGAAAATGCATTATTTTCCAAATCCAGGATAAATCAACGATTATACAGTAATTAATCACAATATAGATATAGGTGGTAAATGTTCTTCAGACATTATCACAGTTATTCAACCCATGATGAAAGTGATTAATTTCCTAATAAAAACCTTTAAAATAATGATCTTAATCTTCATCATTCTATGTGACATTAACCTTATGTCTCCTCAGGTTTATTGACAACTCCTCGTTCTCTTCAAATGTTCACGATTTTCCCATCACAAAGTTCCATATAGTACATTGTTCTGCTGTCTTGTAATCAAAACATGGATGACCACAATAATAAGATTGCATTGCACTATTTTCAAGGTATAAGGAATAGTTACGTTCTTTTCGTTCTATTTGAAACGATAAAATCATGTCTTTGAAAAAATATACTTTAAAACCAAAGATTGTATTGATAGGATATAAAGCATCATTTTGAGACCTAATTTAACTTATCAGATTTTGGGCGCACAATTGCGGTATCTTTCACCGGTTCCAACATTTTGAATTTAACCAATTTTCTATTCAAACATGAAAAGAACAATTATAGATATTTTAACAAAATGTGTTTGTTAGCCATTCATATCTTCTTAAAAAGCTGGTAAATGTACATGTTTTCTTCATCGTAATTCATAGAACATTATAATGAAACTGTGAATACAATCTTTAATTTTAGAACAAATATGTTGGAGGGGGGATACATGCATTTAAATGCTAAATTTAAAGTTGAAATACTGACAAACACCTGCAGAAAGGAGTCATCCAACGTTTAAGTAATATGACGTTTTGTAAATCCTGTTTAGCTGATCATTTTTGCTGTTTACAGTTTCTTCATTTCTACTATACTTTTCTAGATTATTGGCAAAAGCACAAAAATTGCCAAAAATCGTTATCGAAGAGCAATAATTGCTCAATGGATCATCCAAGAGTTTTGGTCTTTTTAGAATTTTTGTAGATCTTGTATGTTAAGTAGTGTTTGAGGTGAAGATCTTTGTAAAAGTTTACGACGTCGATGACGGACGCCAAGTTATTACAAAAGCTCGTGAGGCGTAATGGGTAGGTGAGATACAAGTGTAATGAGTTGTAATATAGATATATGGATATGTACATTTTGGCTTTATACATTTCAAAATTGTGTATATTTGTGGGTTTCCAGTAAAAGAGTATGATACCAAGTTGAATGAACATGCCACGTGATTCAGGAAAAGACTTTATCACAAGTAACGTTCGAGATGTAAACTTTTTGAGGCACAAAATTTAAAACTGTCAAAACTAAAAGGTGCTCTCTCCTTATCGTATTATACTAATAGATAAGGTTACAATTATACAGTTGTTATTAAATAAATGCATCTGGAATTTTTTGGGAATATAAATCAATTGGACTATTTTTAAGTTTGAATCAATACTTCAATTTTTCTTTTAGTTTTCTACATTGAAGTTCTTCAGAGTGTGTGCACATGATTTGTTTTCTCGCATTGTTAATGACGTTGCTGTGTCAAATTGTCTGTGAATTTAACCAACCAATAATATCTTTTATGACGGCATGCGGTCTAATCAGCAGGTACTGATTTTTGCGATTTGCAATTGCGCTCAGTAACTTGGAGAATTTTGTTTATATGGAATAAATAATGCTTTTGTGCCCTTTACAAATGCTTTAAACTATAATACCATTATTTTTAGAAATACTTATTTTCTTGTGATGATTTTCATTGCACATTATTTTATGACAGCAAGTTCATTTCAGGTACACGAAGCCAACGGATAGAGATCGAAAGGGAGAGGGTTCAGATGTAAAAAATCTAGTTTAACCCCTACATATGTACATTTAAAAAGTCAGAAACCTCGTTAGTAAATCTGTCCATTTCACGTTTAAAGGTTTGCCTTATTTTCATGTTTTATTGTACTATTAATCTGAAAGAATATGCAATAATTCTAACATTTCGAAAAGTAAGAAATTGTTTTTCCTTGACTTTTGTTCTTAGTTTGACAGAAATTACACCGTGCCATTTTTTTTTTACGACCGGGCAAGCAGAAAGTATAGATGAATGACATATTATAAAGCCTTGTGTAAGAGGGGGCATTAAAATGAAATTGAATGGATAATGTCAATCCACTAATACGGGAGACTCTAAAAAAAATCATTAACCCCAAGTTTGGTAGAATTTGGGTAAATTCAGAGGATGGACGACGGATGTCAAATGATGACACCGATGACATGGCGTTATGGTCAGATGAGCTTAAAATGTAATGAGTAATAAAAAGAATATTTAAATATGTACATTTTTGCTTTATACAAATCGTAAATAGTTTATATTTTGAACATCATACCTTGCGATTGAGCTTCTGATGTTAACAGCAAAGGAACTGTTGTTTCTGCAATTTTAAATAAACAGTGTAAAATTAAATATACTATCGTTGAAAAGCTGTTTATTATTACATTTATAGTCTTAGATTGCGGAAAATTCAAATTTTATTTGACGTTTTGAAAATATCCTTCTACTAATCGCTTTCTAAGATTTATTTGCAACGGATAAATTATCTTGAATAATCGGTTTGATCTCTTATATATCATATAGGAATATAAATGCTATTGGTGAATTTTAAAACAGGAAAAAGAGTTAGAGAAATGTCAAATAAAAGTATGATACCAAGTTGAATGTACATAACACGTGTTTTATTAAAAGCCTTCATCACAGACGTTCTAGATGTAAACTTTTGAAAGCATATACATCAAAACCGTTCAAAGGTATAAAAACCTAAAGGCCCTTTCTCTTATAAAGATAAAGATTACAATTATACAGATGTTGTTAAATGACTGCGTCGTCTTGAATTCTGGGGATAAACGTCACTTAGATTATTTAAACATGTTTGTTAAAGTTTGAAGCAATACTTTTTTTTCGTTCAGTTTTATGCGTTGGATTTCGTCACAACTTGTACTAGACATTTCACAAGATTGTGACCTTTTGCATTGATTACGTTGCTGTGTGAAATCTTCTAGTGAGAAAAGCAACCGATATTGTCTTCCAAGCAGGTAATGCCCTATGAGAGTACGAGATAATTGCTTTTCGTGCGCTGGTTTTAATTGCATATTGCTTTTTTTGTCAGCTTAAACAATCAAAAACAAAAGCAATGACCCATAGGATGATGGTGATCAAAACTGTCAACTGGAATGGTATTGTTATTTTAAGATGCGAATTTAACGTTTTTTGAATATTAGACATTCTATCACATCTATTTTTTACTGATAATTATGACGTTTTGTAATATTGAATATTACTAGATATATCCATTCAGTTGCATATTATAAACTTTTTAGCAATCAGAACAGAACATAATTGTCCTTCGGTATTATGTGATATTCTTGAAGTTTTAGCTACAATTTAAGTATGGTTTTGTTGTCTTCTAATCATTTGCTATCTTATCTTTACCAATGACAAAACCGATGCGACTGTTATTATAAGAGTTATTGACATAGTAATATATAGGTACATAGTCATATAAGTGTTTTTTTTTTCATTAACAACATCTTTTATTTTCAATCACTTTGGAAACATAAATCCTAAGCTGTACAGGGCAGTTTGAATGTCCCTCTGGTATCGTTCACCTCTATTTTACAGAGGCGTCCCTGCTTTTGTTACAAGTGCCATTTGCCGGGGACATTATCAATGGGTAAAATAAATACTCCCAGCATTGAACATTCTACAAAAAATCATGGTTCCATTTCCAATTGATATTCTACACAACTTTAACCTTGTATTTTCTTAATGTTCAAATATTTTCTCGTATAAGTATTAACAACAAAATATGAATCATATGTTATTTAATTATCCGGTCTTTAATAATTATTAGATATTGACATCGAGACTTTATGTCATATGAATATATACATAACCATATAATACAAACGGTTAAGGTTATCTATTCGAAATAAGTGCTTTCTGCTTGATTTAGATTTGTGTCTACAATCATGGAAACCGTAAATAAAAAATCATGAACAAAATCTTGCTACATGAAAAACCACTTTTGATTTCCACCACAAAAACACAAAAGATGATATCATCAAAATGCTGATTTTTTTATTGACAATATATTTGTTAAGTTTTGTCGATTGATTTCAGCAGACAGTCGGTATTCAAATGGGTATGCACTGTGCATAACTAACGGCTGATTTTTTTTATATAGATACTCATCTTGAGCAGAATTCATACATAATCCACTCAAACACAAAAAGAAAAAGCATCAAATCTGTGTAATATTTCTTTCAGATATATTGATGATGTCCTGTCACTCAACAACATCTCTTTCAAAGAGTGCTGACATCTCATTGTTCACAGTCAACTTGAGATTAAATACACTACCGAAAGTAGGTCTGATTCATATCTTGATCTTTTCCTCGATATTGACACAGATATACGACTTAAAACACGAATCTACGACAAACGTAATGATTTCAATTTTCATATTGTCAATTTTTTTATTCAAAGACAGTAACATGTCACCTCGTCCATATGAAAATTTTTAAGAATCTTTGTTTCTGGCTTCAAATCCTCATACGATTTGTTTTCAGAAACTAAAATCCACGGATTTAAGAACCCACGAACATGTAACTTTTGCTGAAACCACGAAAATTGATACCCACGAATTAAAGTACTTTTCAGAAACGAAGATTCTTGAAAATATTCATATGTTGTTCTATAATAATTTGTGGGATATTGCAAAATCAGGCGTTCATTTTCACAAACTTGTTCGTCATTAATCAGCGACAACATTTTGTTGTGTTCGAGCTTTAAATTTTGCCATTTGATAAAGGACATTTCATTTTGAAGTTTCCTTAAATAAAGGCAACAGTGGAATACCGCTGTTCGAAATTCATAAATCGATTGAGAAAAAACAAATCCGGGTCACAAACTAAAACTAAGGGAAACACATCAAACATAAGAGGAGAACAAAGACACAACAGAAACACTAAAATGCAACACACACAGAAACGAACTATAAGATAACAATAGCCATCTTCCTGACTTGGTACAGGAAAGCCATCCACGAAAACTACGAAAATTGGTACCACACGAATAAAAGTTCTTTCACAGTACTATCGGCTAAATTTTTCTACATTTGAGCGAGTGGCACACGCCATTGGTTCTGCTTGTATCATATATAAGAGGCATAAGGACATCTTTGTCTTATTGATCTGCTTATTGAAAAGGATTTAGACAGACATCCATTTGTTTTTTTTAAAAAGCATATACGTACCTCCTTATTTGGCGTTTATATAATTGTGATTAAAATCTCATTTTAGCAAAGAGATAATCCCAACATTTTAAGCTAAAACAGCGATTCTTTTATTTCACTGTGACTTCATTTAAAGTTACTTCAGAAAAACAATTGCAAATACTTTGAAAATGTACAGATTAAGTACAGTTATTTACTAATTTGTTCTTCTTCTTCAAATTAAATAACAGAACCGATTAATGAAACTTGTGACTTTTTCGAAAGTTTAATGAATGAAAGATTAAAATGCAGTAACTGATGAAAACTGCCAAGATAGTTAGCCGAAACTGTATGTTATCTAATATTTAATCAGTTCATAACAATGTCGTGTTTCGTCATGTAGCTACAATACCTTTAACATAAATTGGAGAAAAAACAGTTATGGTACAATTTGATTTCAATTCTATTTAATCAGACGAAATACTGGGACCAAACGCTCAGATTCTTGTGATTTGGCAAGACTCGAATCATCTTAGTGTTCATGGTGTACCTGGAATGATTTGAGCCTTTTATTTACAGGAGGATCATTTAAATTCTTCTTGTATCAAATATTAAGACCTACCTGCACTTAAAGTAGTATCTGATGCAACTGTAGTAGTTTCCTCACCTGAAAATAGATACTTGATGAATATCTCACTAATTGTATTGCTACAGTATTACACAGAAAGGAACGTTAAAACGAAATTTTCATCATGTTTAAAGTTCAAATTGATATAGGATAACATTAAAATGTGAAGTCTTTCCGGGTTCGGTTTATTTGTTGTGTGTAAGTCAATGCAAACTGCTACAATCTATGGAACTATCTAAAGTTTGATAATCGTTGCTATTGATTGATACTGATCGTATGTAAAATAATTTTTGAGTTTCATTGTGATTTACTGTATTTAGAAGACTGAACATAACAGTTGTCTTAGTACATGCAATATAGGTGACGATGAAAGGAATGAATAACATTTTACATTAAAATTTACTGTTTTTCAAAGACATATCATCGGTACGCGTTTTATCAGCCCAGTGGTCAAATCATTGATATTGTTATTGTCAAATGATTATTATAAATCATTTGTTACAACAAAAAAAAAAAAAAAACAAAAAAAAAGAAAAAAACTAAGGATTTTCTACCCCAGAAATAGATCACCTGAACTTTATTTGGAAAAACCTTTCGGAATTTTGGGTCCTCATTGCTCTAAAACTTCGTACTTTATTTGGCCCTTTTAACGTTTTTGATTCGAACGTCACTGATGAGTCTTTTGTAGACGACACGCTCGTCTGGTGTACAAAATTTTAATCCTAGTATTTATGATCTGTTTATTTATAATAGATGCTATATGCTATCAATAGAGTATTTCATATAAGAAGAAATTTGATAGTGTGAGTTCTATCGAATTTATATCTCACTTGGTAAGGGTTCATTTGAAGAAAAAAAAATAATATGAAAATTTTGTTGATTTGAAAAAAGAATAAAAATTACCAAGGTACAATAAAAATCATAAGTCAAAGAAAAATAAAAATACTATAAGGAAAACAATGAACAGATAAAACAAATGGACACTCAAGCTCTATATACAATAATAAAGTGCAAGAGTTGTAGAAATGGAAAGTTCACAATTGGAAAACTGCTGACATCTGTTTAGTCGTAAAGTTTGGTTTTAAGCCGACCCTCAATTTTGTTATTTGAGTCAATATATTAGTTGGACTTAACAACTGTATCTGTTTTATCCTTCTTTCTATTCGATGGTATAAAAGCGTTCAACATATTCTATGTACTTTGGCTTCCGACCGTACAAGACCCTCATTGGTAGTCAAGGTCGTTAAACCCCCCTCGTAGTCATGTTCTTTGGAAATATTTAACGAGACGACAGCATTTATTTAATGTATGTTACAAGTACAGAACATAAAGTTAGAGATACATGTATTCTTTTTTTTAAATCTTCTTTTGAAGGTTAAACTGTAACTGTACATTTTGTAGAAATAGTCAGGCAAAAATTTAAGTTTTACCTGTACTCAATCTAAACAAAATACAGTGGTCATACAGGAAGTCAAAATCAACTATTTGGTACATTTCACAGAATACAGTCATTAAATAAAAAGAACACAATTTTTGTCACTTTCTGTGCTATTCGTTCAGTCCTACCTTCACTTGAACCTTTACTCGAGGAAGCAACTGACGAAACTGTAGATGTTACTTCAGCTGGAAAACAAAAACAATTAAAGTTTATGATTATTGCAGTAAAGTAAATCTCTACATACATATGTAACTACCAACAAATATATGACAACAAGAGTGCACACGCTCACATGCCTCGATTCTGTGTTAATTACTCTGTTATAGTCTAACATTACGCTTGTTACAAGTTTAGATTTATAATTAGTCCGTTTGTGAGGCATTTCCGTAAGCTAACAGCTATAACCTTTCTCAAATTGTCCATTCATAAATTTAGAAATTTAAAATAAACAACTATTTTAGATTCCCTAAGGCACAGTTGACCCTAGATAGATTGTTTTTAGACCTTTTATTTGTGATATAGCTTTCTTGTACAAATTTGACTTTCAAACATACCTGATGACGGTAAATCCAGAATAGCCCTTCGGACGTATGAAATTTAAAAAAAAGTTTTCATTTATTTCTATAATACAGTGTACAACGATATAATGATATTCTATACTTCTTTAACTTTGATTTTATTCTCCTCATACATATCAAAATTATTACTAGTATTATGTTATTATGTCTGAAAAATTACCTTCACATCTGTACTCAACCGAAAGCCAGTTTGATTGAAAACATCTTTGATCTTTTATAACTAATTCCTGAAGATTGAAGGTGCAGATGTCTGAATCCTTCATATCGTTACATACAGTTGTAATTGATGTTTGGACATCTTGGTATACGGCTGAACAGTTGTCAAATTCTCGATCAAATACTAAAGATGTGTCATTAAGCTGTAGATAATATTTTGAACATTCATGAAGCGATATAGATTCATCAATTTTATGACATTTCTGTGAAGTTTTGATCAAACCTACAAGTACCAAACCTTACAATTAAATAGTTGAACTTGCATACAATGCAATATAATAAAAAACACAATAATAATAATAATAATAATAATAATGATAATAATAATAATAATAATAATAATAATACCAAATCTGTCAGAGAATAATTGAAGGTCTTTCCACCTCGAATGAAAATCGTTTGCTTTAAATAATAACTTACGGTTTAAAATGTCATTTTTTGGCGTAAGAATGTAGCATATTTTTTACTGATTCCTAAGATACATAGCTGATGGTCCCAAGCCAGGAGCCTGTAATTCAGTGGTTGTCGTCTGTTGCTGTGTAACATATTTGTTTTTCGTTCATTATTTTGTACATAAATTAGTTTTCTCGTTTGAATTGTTTTACATTTGTCATTTCGGAGCCTTTTATAGCTGACTATGCGGTATGGGCTTTGCTAATTTCTGAAGGCCATACTGTGACCTATAGTTGTTAATTTCTGTGTCATTTGGTCTCTTGTGGAGAGTTGTCTCTTTGGCAATTATACCACATCTTCTTTTTTTTATATTATGATGAAATAAAGGATTTCATCAGCTAGTGAAAGTATACTCAGAGTCACTCACGGTATAGCGTACTTTCTACTCATTGCAAACATATCTGGTTTATATATACTTCTGCTTAAAATAAGGAGTAGACGTTGCTACTTCCGATTTACAAAATTTCACTTCCGGTTTCAAACGATACGTTACTTCTCTCTAATTCCCTATCCGACTAATTCAGTCACTGCTCTACCATTGCTACATTTGTAGATTAACGCCTGAATGCAAAAATCGTGAATCAATCATTCGCAGTTAGCTTGGGATTAACTTATCTGGATAGAAACGAAGAGCTGATTGCTGATTGGTTACCTTTCCCACAGGGCAACGATTCAAATCCAGGATTTGTGAAGAGTGTTTACTGTGTTAGTACTCCAGGCCCTCTCAAGTAGTAGAGATCATTACGGGGACGGACTGAATTATTAGGGTTATCGAATTCCAAAGATATTTAATTCTACATGTTCTGGGACCTTTTACATAAAATTCAGGCTTAAATTAATACTTCCGGTTCACAAAAATCACTTCCGTTTGACTTCATTTCGGCAACCAAATGCAAAAAAAAACCTATGACTTTATAATGTGCAAAGATAAAGTGAGGGGAAAAGTGAAAATCTAATCTCGAATTAAACTTTGACCGTGACCTCAATCTGAAGTTTATAAAGAATGAACTAAAATCATAAGTCCCTATGTCTCTTCTATATATGATTAATAAATCATATCAACATTCAGTTAATTTTGAACACTAAAGGGGAGAAAACTCCCATAAAAGGTCAACATACCCTTTTTAACAAGGTAGACAAAGGACCTCAAATCAAGTTTTTATCACTTTTGGTTTAAGTTATATCATCATACAGCTCACATGTACAAAATATTGACTGTATGCTCATGATTTTTTTTTCGGGGAGCTTAAAAAAGATTGAAAAGCTACAGTCCAAAAAAATTGGGGATAAACACGGATATCCGGTAAGATTTCATTCGATCATTAATTCCCTCTAGTAAAACTAGTTATGACCATTACAAATGTTGTTAGATGTAGTAATCGCAGTCGCAGTGTGTGATGAAACTAAACAGGAAGAGTGAAATTTGGCTAAGACAAGTTGAACTTATTCGCAATTGCACATGATATAGATAAGTTATAGCGGACAGTTTTCAAAAACATGAAAAAAAGCTTTAAAATGATTTTTTGATATTATCAGATATTGAAAATTTTCCAAAAATGAGGAAAGAATGACGTTCTTACATGTCTTATCATTAACCAAAATTTTAGTGACATTTGGTCAGAAACTAATTAATTACGTGGAAGCACAACTTTGCGATCAGTTTTTTGCGATATACTATCATGCATTGTCCAAAGAAATAAAATGTTGTTATAACTGCATGTAAAATGTCATTTTCATTTTGTTTATAATACTTTAAAATATTCCCAGGACTATTCAAATTAAAATTTTACTAGATTTTATTCAATTTGTTATTCCGATCCTACGAACGAACCAAGTGAGTCGAAAGTTTTAATGCCTCTATGTATAATATAAGACAACAGCGCAATTTGGACCTACATATCTAATGATATTCGTGAAATATCAGCAAGCCCTCCAGGTCTCACTGAGACAAAAATGTTCATGGCACGGATGGACACACGAACGAATGAAAAGATCACAATAACCCCCTCATAAGGAGCAGGCGTATAATAAATACAAGCCTATAAAATGATATATATTTGTCTTTTAAAAACTATGTTTTTTTGGATTTAAGTATTTGAATAGCCAGTTACAAAACATGCCGAACCTAAAATATCTTTCTGATTGTCTTCGACATACCACCTTTCTTACCTGAACACGAACTCTCAAGTAGTGAAATATCATCTAATGCTATACCACCAAAATAACCGTTTCCTCGAACCCCTTCAAATATAATCCTGTACGGTTCTGATTTAGAAATGGTAAAATTAGCAAATATCCACGTGCTGTTTTTTCCAGACTGTGACCAATGCATCTGAGTGGTGTTTCTTGATTCTGTGTAAACACTTAATGTACCTATCTCTTCTCTATTCATATGATACCAGAAAGTAAAACAAATATCACCATCAGGGTTGATAATGGTGCTGGTCAATTTAGACTTCATACCCTCTGATATATTTGGACCTTCAAGGTACATGTAATGTCCATCAACTTTTGGAACGAAAAAGAAAAAAAATAGAAATACATGAAATCAATATAGAAATCAAAAACATAACTCATTTACAATAGTATCTCACTACGTATACTGACTGCTTGCATATGTAACGAGAAACAAAGAGATATTTATCAGGGTAGATAACTTTGTCAACAAGATGTATAAGTACAGGGAGATATACAACATAATTCCATGACATATTAACCATACGGCAGAAAACATTAGCAGACTTTGAAAAGGCATAATACTGTCTTCGACACTGAACAAAGGATGTAAACTATATTGATTGATTGGTGTTTAACGCCACTTTCAGCACTATTGTGCTCTTTATTGGTGGTCAATTTGTATTGGTAGAGGAATCCAAAGTGCCCGGAGATAACCACCGACCTTCGGTAGGAAAACTGACAATCCTAGTTAATTAAGATTGGAGTCGAGCGCACCAGCACTTTCGAGGTTCAAAATCACAACCTCAGTGTTGAAATGCTAGTGATACACTAGTTCGAATATTTAGACCACTCGGCCACCGATGCCCGCTGTCTAGCGATAGATCAAAATCGCTTCCATTTTTAGTAAATTTGTAAAGAATTAACTACTGACCGAGATCAACAATTGACACAAAATTTTAGTCAACGCTTAAATAAGCTCCTGACATGGCACAGACATGTGAACCCTTAGAGTGAATTGATTATTTTTGTGGAAGCCCTCCACTTTTAAAGGACATAAGCTTCAATTTTGACAGTATAAGATGGAATAATTTTGTTTATTTCAAACATTGAAAAGAACGGAAAATGGAATACTTTATAACTATTATCAGTCAGTTTGGTTAAATTTTGTTAAAATAAGCCTCAAAACTTCGCTGATACATTATTGACTCGAAAGACAATAATAAGACATTATCTAAATTCATATGCATGCGACCTTTGATATGACCTCAATTGGAAATATTTGCGCATGTGCTCAACAGGTTAAGTCATTGAAATTGATGAATGCTGAAAAAAATGAAATTAAGAATAAACAGGAAGACCGATTTCGTTGATTATTTAGAACCGCAAAAAATACATTTTTTCATCAGTCAGGCCTTTATCAGTGAGTTTAAATAACCGCCTAATTATCTTTATGATTCACAACAAGCAACCAATAATTAGAAGTATATACAGGTAGTGGATTTAAATCATGAAATGATATTAAAAAAGAAGATCGAATGCACTTTCAGTATACCTACCGAAATTTCTATTGATTTATTTATGAATCTGCCTGAACATTATCCGTAATTCACAAAAAAGGCATATTTGAACCAATTTCGAAGTATATATAATATGTATGTTACCGAAATTTTAGCAAGAATCAAAATTCCATGCACATCACGATTTACTCTCATATATATTTGTAAAGATATGTATTAAAACAGATGAAATCACCCTAAATTTATAAAAAGAATGAACACATTGAATGTAATCATTCTCTTTTAAAATAAGTGAAATAGCATAATAATAAATCAAAAATAAAGGGAAAATCCGCCCTTGATTGAAAAATATCAACAATTACATACAAATTAAAAAAAGTAAAGAAAATGGACAACAAAGAGAATACAGGGATTCGAACCTAAACCAACCCGACAAATTTTAACTAACATTGACTCTGCAACTCATCCATCTAAACCTCGCGGCTATCAACTCAAACTTAACGATTCTTTTATATATATATATATATATAAATTTTAAGATCACTATAATAAATGTTCTTGTGTATAGAAATATATATAGATTACTAATAAATCCAACATTTCCAGTATAAATAGTTTTATTTCACAAGTACTTTCATGTTTTTACATAACAATCTTCAGGTGAAACTATACATGATTAACATAACTATGTAACGGTAGGTATGTAACGTCATAGTTGTCGTTGAGTATATAAAGGGAGATAAATCGTATTACACTTAGTCTGTATATAGAAGTACGGAACGTCATGATCACACAATAGAAAATGCATTATTTGCATTCAATCGTGATTTGAATTTTGAAATAAAATATTTTTCCTTTACTTCCCGTGTAATGTCACATCCCATATTCATTTTATACAATGAGAATATTTCAAAAAATCCCCCGCCACATTCGTCTAAATGTTTGCTAAGGGGGATTTTCCTGTTGTCACTTGTTTAGACGTACTGTGACTGCATTATACGATCCTTTAGTATAGATAACTTAGCTAATCTGCAATCAATTCCATCTTCATGCCTATTATATCATGTACTGTGTTACAACTCTATATTCTTCTGACGAGGAAAGGTAACACTAGGCCACCGAAAGTTGATTTTTTAGTTCAGTCTAGGTGGCCGAGTGGTCTAGAGCGTTGGACACAGTGCAGGCGGTGTTGTCTCGATATCCCAATACCATGAGTTCGAATCCCGGCGTGGGAAAAACAAAAATTTGCTTCCGCAAATTTGCAGTTTTAACATTGTTGTGCTGATATTTAGAGTAATTTATAATAAAGATCCATTTTGTTACATCTTGTGATCCGTTTATTTTATCAGTACGTCTAAAACAATAGCAATCTTGCATTCTATACAAAAAAAAAAGTTTTACCAGAACATCATAGAGCTCATATCGCAAATTATTTCTATTTTTATTTTAGGTATGTCGTTGCGACGTGTTTGGAAATTTTAGAATTGTACTAGTGTCTCTATGATGTTCTGGTAAAACTTTGTATAGAATTCAAGATTGCTATAGTTTTATAATCAGAATAGATTGATAAGATTAATTTTACATCGTGATCATACTGATGAAGGATACCTGTTATCCGAAATATTTATAGTTACATTTGTTCATTTTATTGTTATTTTTTGGTGATGTTGTACCCTTTTAGACTGGTTATATATTATATTTTGTAGTGTATCATAATTATATGATCCATCGCCCCGTAAGATTTATCGTCGGCTATTATTCAGTCATTTTATATATATATATATATAATCCTGTAATTATACTGAAGAGATGAGCAGATGATAATTTTTGTACACTAAAGAATACTTCGTGTATTGTATCAGATGTCCTTGTTTAATTCCTACAAGAAGGTAACACCTCCCGAAACGAAAGCTGATTTTTATCAGCTATAGTTAGAGGAGGGAATAAGGCGTCTGCGCAATGCAGGCGGTGTTGTCGTAGAAGTTAGAAATAAAAAGTACAGGTTCCAGCCCCGCTCGGGGAGGAAGTAAAGAATCAGATCTACTCTAACATCGTTAGGTTGATTTTCTAGGTACTTTATATATATATATATAAGTACGTCTGAACCAGTGACAACTCTACGACAGATTTTATCCATTAGATACAAGGCTGAAAACACATTCTGTATACATAATTCGTCTAAATAACAGCCCAACAATGTATGATCTGTAAATTTGCGGAAGCAAATTTTTTGTTCTTCCCTGGCCGGGATTCGAACTCATGCTACTGAGATATCGTGGCACCAAATCGCCTTGCACTATGCCTGACGCGCTAGACCACTCGACTATATATATATATATATATATAAAGGGGGTCTTTTGTACTTGTGTGTATCATGTTTTAAAATTTATTAATGTTCATTGATATATACATAAAATAGACATCTAAACTGCAACCCATTGGGAGCCGAAAAGTTTCGTCGATGTGTTTGATATCGGAGTAGCGTAACATACTTCAAGGAGGGGTTCTAATCCCAGTGAAGGCACATACAAATTACAAAAGGTAAAGTTAGTAAGTGTTTAAAATAATTCCATTAGTGAACAGAAATCAGTAAATTAGCCAATTCAAACTTAACGAAATTAAGCACACAAAGTAAACAATTGAATATAATTTGGTGAGTCCATTTCAGCGAGAGATTTACGAAGCGTTGATTCTAGATAACTACGGTAAATGAATAGGCTGACGTCATGGCGATGGTTTTAATAATCAGATGGAATTCAGCCCAAATATATTTGTACTTTTTTTTTAAGATTCAATGTGTGTTTATTGTTTCCTCTTGAAATTTACTCATTATTATATGAGTTGTATTAAGAACACGAATTTTACTGATAATTTAAATCTCTGTCGACTTAATAGAATAACATACAATATGATCAGCTCAAATGTACGTATCTCCTTAGGACTAGTTAAAGGGCAACAATATTACAGGTATAAGCAAAACAATTAGAATAGTGCCCTTATCAAACATCGCAGCAGATGAAATCAATCGCAAAAGGCTTAAACTACTAATACGAAATGATACCGTCCAACGTTAATTATCTGTAGATTAACTGTTACAACCCAATGAATAGAATACCCTAGCTGTATTTGGCAAAACTTTTAGGAATTTTGGGTCATCAATGCTCTTCAACTTCGTACTTTGTTTGGCCTTTTTAACTTTGTTTATTTGAGCGTGACTGATGAGTCTTTTGTAGACGAAACGCGCGTCTGGCGTTCACAATTTCAATCCTGGCATCTATAATGAGTTTATTTATAATGAAATGTGTACGTATTTACAACACTTAGGTTTTTGAACTTTTTGTGTTCAATGCTCACCACTTTCGTATTCGACCTTTCCACTGTTCTGATTCAAGCGCCACTGATCAGTCTTAAGTAGACGAAATGTCTAGCTTACCAAATTATAAGCTTGATGTATCATATTGATAATTTGTGTGAACATGACTTATTCATTAGTTCTAATTAGCTACTAGCTTTCAGTAACTGTGGGTACTCTTACAGGTTGATTGGTTGTCTTAATATTAGTTATTTTTTGTGCGTCGTGATAATCTGATGAGTCAAGCAATTTCAAAGCGATGTGTTGTAAAGTAGTGCTTTGCAACAGTGTTTCCAGGTAAGGGTCGGATTCAACTTTTACAACTATGTGTAAACCCGCCACATTTTTAATGTTCCTAGTCAGGTACAATGTACCCGTAATTCAATTGTTGCTGTCTGTTAATTTTTTTATTTTTATGTCATAAATTAAGCTGTTGTTTTTTTTCGTTTGAAAAATGTTTC